GGCAGGTTTTAGTAAATACCTGCTGAATGAGTGGTGAGTGAGCCTAGGTAACAAACTGTCTGAAGACGTGGTGTCACTAACCTACCCTCAGTATAGCTCTAATGCCAGGAAACAGCCAGCTCCTTAATCTCCTAGTGAACTGAGCATTGTTTTAAGGAGGGGGGGGGGGGAAATCTATTTCCAATCTTTGCAAGAAGTTTCTGTACTCACAGAGAAAATTCCAACAAAAAGCAATCACCCTTCTTTCTCCTCTTCCATGGCACGACCATTTGAGCAACGCAGCAGCACACATGAAAAGCTTCATCAACATGAAGACACTTAGAAGGGCCAGAAAGCATCTTGGGTGCAATGCAGCAAAATGACTTTGTGCACCGGGTACAAATCCAGGTGAGAGTTCTGCCTTGCCCCCAACCCTCCAAAATTTGGGGACCCCACTTAGAGGTTTTCTGTAAGCTACCATATAAAAAGCATTTTCACACGTTGAATAACAACAATTACCTAACTCCGCACTCCTTGGGGCTCGAAAGACACATTTTTCAGTGAAACCTGGATGATGTTAGGAAAGTAAAACCCTGCCTCGCATTTTTGCAAAGATCCACGAGCCCCACCCCTATCCCCACCTCTGCCTAGCTCCAGGAAGGTGGGAGGCCGGCCTGGTGGGAGATTCCGGACCTTGACGAGGAAGAAACGTGGGGAGCTCCCAGGACGGTTAGAGAAGCGATCCCTGGGACACCCATCTCCTGAAGAAACCTACCAAGGTCCTCTGCATGGCTGCTTGTCTGCTGATTTCTGCGCCTTTGCAAGAAAATTCAGGGCAGCAAGTGCTCCACTGCAAGGCGTACAACTCACCTTACAGCCCCAAGTCCTCCCAGCAGCCAGCAAACTTCGTACCTGAAGTCCGGAAGTGGTCCTGGTGGCCGGCGCCCCACTTTGCAGGATCAAGAAGGCGGCGGGTTTTGGGCGGTACCTTCCCGAGGCGCGCATGCGCAGCGTCCCCCCGTCCACCGTCAAGTGCGGCTCCGCCCCGCCCCGCCCCGCGGAGGGCTGAGGGCCAGTCAGGTAGGCCTTCAGCATCCAGGGCGGGGCCGTCTGGCCGCTGGTTCCATGGTCCTGCTTTTGCTCTGGCCCTGAGCCTGGGGCTGGGGTCTGCTGCCCCCTGCCGGACGGACGGAGCGGAACCAATAAGCATTCGCAGGCGGTGGGTCTGGGTGTAGCAGGAATCCCAGATTTTTAACCCTGAAGTTCATTCATCATTCCAGGGACTTTTGTGTACAGCACCCCACGCCTGTTACTTACTCTCCAGCAGATCGTTTCCGTTTTCAGTGGAGGGAGCTGAAGTCTCCGTGGGGTGCAAAGGTGAGGGCTCAGGCTTGTCAGGTTTGAAAGCCCAAGCACCCTTCATTACCCACCATCTTGCAGTGGTTCTCAACCTGTGGGTCGCGACCCTTTCACAGGGGTCGCCGAAGACCATCGGAAGACACATATATAATTACATATTGTTTTGTGATTAATCACTATGCTTTAATTATATTCCATTTGTAACAATGAAATTGGGGGTCACCACAACATGAGGAGCTGTATTAAAGGGTCGTGGCGTGAGGAAGGTTGAGAACCGTTATATGTAACAATGAAATTGGGGGTCACCACAACATGGGGAACTGTACTAAAGGGTGGTGGCATTAGGAAGGTTGAGAACCACTGAAAGGGGTCATCTAGATGTAACAGGACAGTCAGGGTCCTAGTTTTATCATCCAAGCCCAGGATTAGGTGGGCTTAAATATCTGAGGGGAAAGGTATAGAGTGCCAGAATTGGAAGGCACTTTAAATCTGTCTTCTCTTGGAATAATCCATTTCCAAAAAGAAACTTGACTTTGGAATTATACCTCCTCATAACTTCTCATCTCACTCTGGCATTGACTTCTAGGCCATTTCCTTACATAATAGCCCATGATACATTTGTCAAAGGCTGTCATCTAGTAGTCACCAACGGCATTAGGGGTGCTGTGGGACTGGGAATAATAGCAGATTTCTCTTAAAAAAAAAAAAAAGCTGAAATATACATTGAATCTTGTGAACTTTGCTGAATCTATTCCATGTTCTTAAAAGTACTTCTGAGAAGTAATGTGACTAATCTGTGAGAAATCTAAGTTGGTCCTGGGGAGTTACAACTCCTCAAGATGCATAGGAGAGCGGATGCCAGGCACTGGAATGTGGTTGGAGGAAGTGGTGCCCTGAAGAATGGCTCTGAGTTCTCCCAGAGCTCCTTTTCCATCCCCTTCTTTTCCCATCCTCTCTCTCTTTCCCCCTAGCTCCACCCACTCAGACTCCCAGCACACTTTCTCTAAAGCTAAAACCCTCTTGGAATGCATCATTCTTTAACTGATGTAAACCCTGGTAAATAACTTCCCCTGACCTTCTGTGAAGGAAAACCCCTATTCTGTAAAATTACTGTTTGGAATTCTCTATTCTTTGGACGGCCTCTTATTCTGAAAATGTAACTTTGCTTTCTAGCCTGCTTGAATAGTGGGGGAGATAAACTTAGCTCTCTGACCTTGTAGGCTACCATATAAAAAGCATTGATATGCTTTTGCAAAGATCCACGAGCCCCACCCCTATCCCCACCTCTGCCTAGCTCCAGGAAGATGGGAGGGAGGGAGGGGATTCCGGACCTTGAGGAGGAAGAAACGTGGGGAGCTCCCAGGACGGTTAGAGAAGCGATCCCTGGGACCCCATCTCCTGAAGAAACCTACCAAGGTCCTCTGCATGGCTGCTTGTCTGCTGGATACACCCAATGCCATGCCAGGTGCATTTTTTAATTGGATAGAACTGTATAGTTTTCAAGGCCACCACCAGGAGGCACATAAAGGGCTGGCTCTTCTTTAAAAAGGGAAGTTCTGCTTGTAGCTTTGCTTAAATTTGGATTCATTTCCCTGAGCCCGCCGCGGTGAATAAAGTGTAACTCCAAACTCTCAGAGCGTTGTTTGGTTCTGGTCCGGTTTTTCTGTAACATTTCCGTGCCTAGATTTAAGATGCTGCTCAGATTGGATGCCCCCTGAAATTCCCTGTCACAGAGGTATTCAAAGGTAAAACAGCCGCAGTATATTCCTACTCAAGACATTTTCATCTAAATGTCGAAAAACAACTCTACATATTACAGAAATGCCATACCCTTGGACATGTGGAAACAGGAAGGTCTTGGGCAAAGGGGCCATTGTCCTTTCAACTCATATGCCACCAGCTGCCACCTACTCCAGCTAAGGGTAAAGTTAGAGCGCCAGGCAGGGGTACATCAAAGCTTATTGACCTCTACCTATTTGTAAAGCTTTCTATTCATGATCCACAGCAGAGACACTAACTCCCAGTGTGCCACCAACCCCTTTGGCAGTCTGGAGAAATGCACAAAATACATAGGATTGCCAAGGAAGCCAATTTTATTGATATAGTTATCAAATTATTAAACACTTATACTTGTGATATAATAGATGTGCTTCTTTATAAAATCACACAATCTAGGAGTGGGTTTAATAATTACCATAATTTCCAATAGTGGTACACATAAGCAATAGTTTGAGGTATCTGTAACATGTGAATACCTGTGATTCCTAGTGATGACAGAGTCACAGGTACTAATATTGCTGTAGTTTGCAGCCTATTTTCCCAATGAAAAGAAATGCTAAATTTTAAATCGAGATGAATCGAAATAGAGCTTTCTTTTTCCTGCCCAAGTTCTCAGATCTCCTGATTTCCATTCCCAGGCCCCTCAGGATTTGGAACTCCCAATCTATGGAAATGTGAATTTTCAGGAGTTGTATATACATGGAATTGGAGAAGGGGAGAGCAGGGTTGAGGGCCCAGCTGACTGGCAGACTAGCTGCTCAGGCAGGTCCTCCTCGGATGATTATACCTCAGTGAGTGTCCTGTAATTCCTGAGTCTGGTCCTCGTTTCCAAATGTGCAGAAACTCAGTTTGTATCGGTTCTCCCAGGGGCACCCTGGCTTTGGGAGATGGATTCATAAAAACCAAAGTCACAGGAGACTTGCTGAGTTTTAAAGAAACAAAAGAGTCTGCTTCAGGTCCTTGACTCTTCTCTTCTTCCAGAACCCACATGGTTACTTATCATTTAGGCCTGTGCTCATCAGTAAAGGAAATTTTGAACAAGCATCCCAATATGTGTATAATTATTTCTAAATCAGACACATACTGCTGTGCTAAAATACTATGGGTATTTTAAATACTAAACAAAATAAGATACACAAGGCTTTAAAAGGGGAATAAAAATAAAGGACTAATTAGGTATTTCCTATGTTTAATAAAAATGACACATTTCTTTCTGTCCCACATACTAGAATTTTTTTATTCTTTCTGTCTCCTTTTCCAATAACACTTTCCTGAACTGCCTGCAGCCTTCGGGACACCATTCCTTTCTTTTATGCAGCGGTAACACGGAACACAGTCAAATGTAGAATGCACTCTGACTTGCAGCTCTGCTCTTCTCAGGTCCACATGACACTGACTCCAATGTGATGGCAATATCTTCTCAATAAGAATGTTTGAGCATGAAATACTTAGGATTTTACTTACCAGCAACAGCAGGTGTTTAGATCATAGGAATTTGTTTCCATTTCTCAAAAAAAATGTCCACCCACTTTGAATCCACAGGCTTGTATTGATAGGCCAGCTGTTTGTCTATCAGGTCCTTTGCATCTATAAATTCATCCATCATACAGGCTATAAATGTCTAAAATGTCATATGTATATACATATGTATGTATATATGTTTGTTTGTTAATCCTCATCCAAGGATATTTTCCCACTTATTTTTAGAGAGTGGAAGAGAGGGGGAGAGGTAGAGAGAGAGAGAGAGAGAGAGAGAGGAGAGAGAGAGAGAGAAACATCAATGTGACACATCGATTAGATGCCTCCCACATGTACCCCGACCAGGGATGGGGATTGAGCCTACAATCAAGTCCGTGTCCTTGACAGGAATTCAACCGGGACTCTTCAGTCTGCAGGCTGATGCTTTATCCACTGAGCCAAACTGGCCAGGGAATAAAATATGTCATTTTTAAATGCTCTGAAGCACACTGGATGTCATCGTAAGTTAAACATCTTCTCAGGGAAAATGGTTTTAAAGCTCAGAACTGGTGAAACCGAAGTTGGATTCCAAATAAGGTACAGTTCTAGTAAAGAAATTAAGAAGGTACTGTTTCACTTGGCTTCCCTTTTCTGTTGACTTTTTTTTTTTTTTTAATTCGGGAACAATCATATCGAACAGCTCAGGTGCAGCCATGTTATTCTTTTTACAGGCTCTTTATGGCCTCTTCAAAGACCATCAAACAGTGCTGGCAAAGAGCATATAAACTTCTATCTTACTGTAGTCCTTTTCTCCACTCTCATCCTCGATATATTTTCAAATCAAAAAGGATATTATTCTTGTCCCACACTTTGAAAATATGATTTTATGGTAGCCAATATTTTAGCATGGTTTCTATGGCTGGGAGCAATGATGCCCATCTTGTAGGCACATGTCTACAGAGGTTATCTCCTTCCATTTCTATTAAATAAAAAAACTCATTAAGTGCTTCTTTGCATTTGATAAAAATGACCACAAACTTTCATTATGAAAATCTCAATATCACATTTAAGCAATCACAACCCTTTTTAGTGTTGTTGTATATAAGATGTGCAGGTCATTGAATAGGTAAGATCTTTTCATTATCCCTGTTAAGAAGTTTATAGACTGTATGGAATTTGCCAAAATTTACATTTGTACTGTCTGATAAGTATGCAGATAGATGAGTTTGCATTTGGAAAAAATATCAACAACCTTTTGTTTTATGATTTCAGCAGTTTCGTTAAATCCTCATAGATACCAAGCCCACTATTTGAAACTCCATTTTCAAGCCAAAGTACGTAAGAGCTAGTTCCCTCTTGATGCCATGATTTGGCTCATCCCTAGGCTGATATGCTGTAGAAAACATCATTGTTGGTGAGATATGGCAAAATCAGCTCTACGCTGTAAGGGGCCAACACATCTGTTATCTAAATTTCTTCTTTTGTTTTCCCACAGGACATTTTACTTGCAATCTCTGAATCAGAAAATGTAAACTTACTCAGTTTCATAGAACAATCAAGGGAACATATGATAATGCATGTTTGTTTATGTGGTATGCCCAAGCTAATTCATTCAGCAGCTGCTATTTTTGACTGAACACTGGCGTCTTTTGGGGACATGAAAACACTTTAAAAATATTTCTATTGATTTCAGAGAGAAAGAGAGAGAGATAGGAACATCAATGATGAGAGAGAGTCATTGATCGGCTGCCTCCTGTATACTAACCACTGGGGATTGAGCCTGCAACCCGGGCATGTGCCCTTGACCGGGAATGGAACTGTGACCTCCTGGTTCATAGGTCAATGCTCAACCACTGAGCCATGCTGGCTGGGCTGAAAACACTTTTGATTGGTTTAGAGGTACTTGCCTGCCTCATCCTAGACTTGTGAGATACAAGCTTTTACATCCCCATATGTGCTTTTACATTCCCTTCTCCACTGTATCCAATTGCAAGTTTTTTTCTCCATATGGTGCACTATGCTCTGTTTGGGTTATTTACCTCCCTAATCCATCTGTCATTAAAATAACCGTCATTCAGCCTTTTTTTTTGGTGATGGGATCATGCTTGCGTTGGTATTATAATTCTCATTTTCTTTATCTACACCTGATGTCAGGCTGGTTTAGCTACACACAGTCTTCACTCCCTGTCCTGGCAGTCCCAGTATAAGACTTGTTTCCTCCAGAATAAGCAGCAGGGAATCCTCACTGTTTCCCCCGTACTCACTGTGTGATCTACTGTAGTTACTGAATCTTCTCTGGGCTTTAGTTTTTTCTCTGTGAAATGACACTTAAATAATACTTATTTCATTGCATCCTTGGATATTTCTCTAATCCTCACCTGTGAAGTGTTTGGTGCAGTGCCCCAAATAGGAAAGAAATATCTACTGTCCTCTACCTGGACCTCAACCCATATACTCCTCACTCCCCCCTTACAGCATAAGTCCCTAAACTCCACTTTCCCCCAGGACACTTGGCCACATGCAGCCCACACAAACTCATCCTGATCATGCTGTTCTTTTAGAAATCAAATTCTCTACACAAGGGCCCTTGATAGAGTATGCAGCTCACCTTCTCCATTTTTAAAGGGGATAAACCCCAACCCTCTTCATCTTCCAATGTTGGGATCCATTTTTTATAGTATGGTCAAGGACCTCTCCAAATTTGGTAAAATAGTCTTTTGGATCCTTTTTGCTTGTATCCCAGCTCAGGCCACCAACGAACTATTTATCTGAAATGGTAGGGTGAGACACATGGCCACAAGAAATCTTACAAGGAAGCTGTTGATTTAGAATGTCTTAGAGCAGTGATGGCGAATCTTTTGAGCTCGGCGTGTCAGCATTTTGAAAAACCCTAACTTAACTCTGGTGCTGTGTCACATACAGAAATTTTTTGATATTTGCAACCATAGTAAAACAAAGACTTATATTTTTGATATTTATTTTACATATTTAAATGCCATTTCACAAAGAAAAATCAACCAAAAAAAAGAGTTTGTGTGTCACCTCTGACATGCGTGTCATAGATTCACCATCACTGTCTTAGAGGAAATCCATGAATCAAGGAAGAGCGAGATCTCCCAAATCATTCATTGGAAAAATGACAAATAAAGCCGCCATCCACAGCCAAGGTCTACACCCCCCCTCCACACACACTCCCTTCACACACACCCAGCCTACCCTTGAAAGACATTAAAAAATGTGCATTACCTCCTTACTGACATCTCAGCTCTACATGGACCCTGACTAAACCTAAGACCACAGCAACCCCACATGGAAGAGGGAAAGGACAAGCAACCTCACCCACCAGGCCCCGGGCACCTCTCAAACTGGAAGGTGTGGGGTTTTTTTTGTTTGTTTTTTCTTACCCCAAGACCAAAACCCAATCCTCTTATCAAAATGTTACCATCTACCTGTCTTACCCTGAACCAGATGTCACTCTCAAGGAACTTGGTTGGCCTTCTTTGGCAGTTACTAACAGTGGTCCTGCAGGCCCTGCGACCCTGCTCAACCCCAGGCCCCCCAGGCCGGGCCGGCTATGGGTCCCCATTCTCAAGGACACTGCATTTTTAACTGGCTCCCAGGTGAGGATTATTAAGCAGAAAAAAGTCTGTGAATTTGTCCTGGGGCTTCTCTTGGGGGGGGGGTGTGGGCAGGGGAGGCTGTCATTTACCGCTAGTCTGGGACTGGTCCCCAGGCACCCGCACGCTGACTGACACAAAGATGTGGCTCACTTCATCTTCATCCCTAAGTGGTTTGTAAAGCTTGCTTTTGTGGGCCTATAAGACATTCAAGAGGCCACATGTCCCAATACTTTTAGGGAGAAATTTTGTGCTTTGATACATTTCATTGGCAGGAGCCACGGAATTAGACACTGTCAAATACTTATAATAACAACAGTAAAAATAACTAATATTGATCAGCATTTGCTACATGCCAGAAATGATTCTAAGAGCTTGACGTGTACTAACTGAACGCATCCTTACACCACTCTAGAAAGCCGGCACTCCTGCTGCCCCCATTTATGCAGATGAGAACTTGGGGGCTCAGGGGAATTAAATAATTTGTCCAAGTTCCCTTGGCTCGTAAGGGGCAGAACAAGGTATGAACTCAGGCGCCCAGATTCCTGGCGTCAGTGGACACTGCAGTCCGTAAGTGACTCCATCCCCAGCTGGAGGGAAGGATAGAGGGACGGAGGAAAGAGGATGGAGGCCCCAACTTCGACCTGGCTGAGCCCAGGGCCAAGGGCATACCTTCCTCTCGGTCACTTGCGCTCTCCTCCAGGCAGCTCCCCGACGACGTTGAACCAAGACCGCCCCCCAACCCCCCCGCAGCACCTGCCCCGCGTCCTCCGGGCTCCCGCCGCAGGTCATCTGGTCTGCCTCCGTGGCCTTCTGGCTCCAGGTTGAGGACTCCCGGGTCCGGGCGGGCGATCCGCCTACGGGAGCGGCCTTGTGTCCATTTTGGGGGTGTCCGTGGTCTCCATGCTCCTCTCTCCCTCACCAGCTTCCGACATGCTGGGCAGACCCGGCCGCTCCGCTCTCGGTTGTGGACGCGGTGGATACCGCGGAGCCCGCTCCGTCACAAAGATGCCTCAGCCGCACCTCCTGGCTTCCGGGGCTGCAGTGGGACGAGTTTATGCGGCCCAAGTCGGGGGCGGAGTCCCCTCGCCAAAGCTCATGTTCATTGGCTGAGCCTGCCTGACAGTCAGCCTTGCGCTGGCGTCCCATTGGTCTCAGGGCGCGCGCTGTAAATCCTGGGGGATCCGTCTTTCCCGAGCGCAGGGGGGCGGTGCACAGGGGCCCCGGGAACCGGCGGGAGACTTCCTGTCCCGCCCCGCGGAAGGCCAGGGTGCCGCCCTCCGTCCGCTGACGCCGCAGCCCCCTCTCGCCGGTCTCAGGGCTTCACGGAAGAGAAAAAGAGCCAAAAGTAAGACAAAACCAGTTCAAATCCCCACAGTCAAACCGCAAGTTCGAGGAGAACAACTGCACATGAGAAAAGCATAATTAAGCAAAAGTCCGTTTCGCAAAGGCAAAGCAAATAACTGAAATCCAAGGGGGTGAATTTAAGAAAAGGTAAAACCCGAATCTAACTTCAAATTTAGGGTATTGGTACCGATTTCTGCTTAGACCTCGATAAGCAAAACCTCACGGTCAGTAAATCGAACTCTTCGTACTGATGGCCTTTCCTCTGAAAAGGCGGCAGGGGGCACTAGATGCTGTGGTTTCCTTCAGGCAGGCGAGGCGGTTTAGCCTTGTCAGTTATTTTCAAACATCACATAGTTTGCTCTTAGGCAGCGGTTCTCAACCTGTGGGTCGCGACCCCTTTGGGGGTGTCCAACGACCCTTTCACAGGGGTCGCCTAAGACCATCGGAAAACACATATATAATTACATATTGTTTTTGTGATTAATCACTATGCTTTAATTATGTTCATTTTGTAACAATGAAATCGGGGGTCACCACAACATGAGGAACTGTATTAAAGAGTTGGAGCGCCCTAGCCGGTTTGGCTCAGTGGATAAAGCATCGGCCTGCGGACTGAAGGGTCACAGGTTTGATTCCGGCCAAAGGCATGTACCTTGGTTGCAGGCATATCTCTAGTAGGGGGTGTACAAGAGGCAGCTGATCGATGTTTCTCTCTCATCGATGTTTCTAACTCTCTGTCCCCTCTCCCTTCCTCTCTGTAAAAAAATCAATAAAGTATATTTTTTAAAAAGAAGAAAAAAAAGGGGTCGCGGCATTAGGAAGGTTGAGAACCACTGCTAGGGGATGGTTAAAAAACTATCCCCTACGTGGGAAAACAGGGAGATGGTCTACATAGAAGAATGATTATGTGACAAAAGATAACAATTTCTGCATCACAGCCTGTTGACTAAGGAGTAGAAATACTGTGTGTGGTGGGGGCATGGGCAATTGGAGGGCCTGCAGGGAAATTTTGAGCTGGGCTCTGAGAGAGGCAGGCAGTGAAGGGTGACCACAGGACAGCAGCCGATCCCCGGACCTATTGTGAACGTTTGCCAAGGACATGGGACTTTCCATGAAACACTGGGATCGAGGGATTTCCCAGGACTGGGGACTTTCCTATAAATAATAACAACAACTAAACATTTAATGAGTACCTATTATGTGCCAGCCATCTTCTAAGCATTGTACAGGCATCAGATTTCTTTGATCTTCACAACAACCCTCTGAGATAGGTACCATGTCTGCCTATTTTACAGAGAAGAAACTGAGGCAACATAGCCAAGGCCATACAAACAGTTGAGAAGTGTCAAGTCCAGGTTTAAGGAAAGGGTGTGCCAGGCTCTGAGGTCATTCAGCTTGGGTTCCAATAATGGCTTCATCGCATATATTATTAATACAGAAAAGCATATAACATTATGACGAGCACATAGAAAATAATGTTTGCTGTTATTATTAAAAGAGTGGTCCTTGCTTTCCAAGAGCTTAAAATCTATTACGAAAGGTCCTAGCCAGTTTGTCTCAGTGGTTAGAGCAGGGGTCCTCAAACTTTTTAAACAGGGGGCCAGTTTACTGTCCCTCAGACCGTTAGAGGGCCAGACTATAGTTTAAAAAAAAACAACTATGAACAAATTCCTATGCACACCGCACATATCTTATTTTGAAGTAAAAAAACAAAATGGGAACAAATACAATATTTGTATTTGCATGTGGCCCGCGGGCCGTAGTTTGAGGACCCCTGGGTTAGAGCATGGCCTGCAGTCTGAAGGGTCCCAGGTTCAATTCCAACAAAGGGCACATACCTCGGTTGCAGGATCTGTCCCCAGCCCCCCAGTCCAGATGCCTCTGGAAGGCAACCTATTGATTTGCCTCTTTCATATCCATGTTTCTCTCTCTCCCCCTCACTTCCGTGCTTTCTAAAAAATAATGGAAAAATATCCTCGGGTGAGAATTAGCAAATAAATAAAAATATTTCAAGAGGTTGCTTTGATTCATAAAGCAGTAGAGGTACCTATTGAATGGATGAGTGGTACAGATAATAGTTACAGGTCAGTGTCAGAGGAGGGAATACCTGTGAAACAGGTCTGGGTCACAGGTGTTCAGTGTGGCACCTGCTTAAAATGCTACCTGAGCAACTGAGATTAATTAGCCTCTGATCCTGAATGGCTTGACTAATCATTACATTGTTGGTGTTTTACTATCACGTGGCTGTATGTGTGCCTAACTAAACCTATAATTAATTTTTATTGGTCACTCAAATTCTCTTTAAGGAGTGGTGTGGTATGTACTTTTATAGCTGGAGGGAACATTTATTAATTTTTGGAGGAAGCATTTATTAATTACACAAATCGATATCTGTTAGATGTCAAGCCCTGGGGTGGGACTCAGAGATAAACATGGTGCCGAGTCAGAGACCTCTGGAATGAGGAGGCTGGGAAGGGAGATTATTTTAATGAGAGGGAGCTAGCAGACAAGGAGTCTGGGGACCCACAGTGAAGGCAGCAGGACTGGCCTGAGAAAAGGTCGTTGGTGGGAAAAGGGCTTCATGCCTTGGGAGAACCAAATGGGGGCACTTGGTTGGGACGATGGAAATGTGAAATAGAAGCAGAGTGAATTGGTTCAGCAACAAGCTGTGTTCAGAGAGCCAAGGCTAAGCATGCTTTCTCACCTCTGAGCCTTCTATTGAAGTCTTCTGGCCTGTGCAGCCTCCAGATGTTGCTGTGTGGAAACTTTACATCATGGGGTGGGAGGTAATCTTTGCGCTCAGCTTGTTTTTCACTGGTTGTCCTTAACGGAGTTTAATGCTGAAAGTCTGTGGACATTTATATCCAGAAGAGCCTCTGTCTTGAACAAATGACTCACCACTCTTTTTTTTGTTTGTTTTGTTTTGTTTTGCAGTGAAGGAATTATGTTTTCTGTCATACGGTGGATTTACTTACCTTTACTAGCATATATGTCTAATATTCATCTTACCCAAATAGATTTCTTGGAAATAAAAAACAAATATTAAAGACAGCTCAATCTGCCCTAGCCGGTTAGGGCCAGTGGTTAAATGTCATCCTCCTCGCCCACCCCCACCCCGACCCCTACCCCCAAACCAAAGGGTTTTATTGTCAGTCAAGAGCACATACTTGGGTTGCAGGCTGGATCCCTGGCCCGGGCCAGTGCACATGTTGGAGGCAACCAATCGATGTGTCTCTCTCACATTGATGTTTCTCTCTCTCTTCCCACCCTCACTCCCTTTTACTCTCTCTAAAAATCAACGGAAAATTATCCTCCGGTAAGGATTAAAAAGAAAGATGGCTTAATCTTTCCTATTCTATTAGTCTCTGTAGAGCCACTACTGTACTTATGTTAGTTATATTAAAATCAAGCAGGAAATTGCCTTGGTGAGAAAGAGGACTTGATGTACAGGGTCACTTTGAGCAAACAACCCTTAATGCAATAAAAATGGCATCTTTGAGGAAAAGCAGTTTATCTTGTCTGATAAGGCTGCCTTTACTTAATACATTAATGTTGCTCTGATAACACATTTTAAGCAGTGTTTTTAATTTAAAAGAGAAAGTCCCAAGAGAAGATGTAGGCTGAAAAATAGGTCATGGTACTACTTGAAAACATGCAATTGAGGGACATGTAAAAAATTCTCTCAACAGTGCAGTATGATTCACTATAAAGGGGAAATTGGGTCCAAGTGTAATGAGAGGCAAGATTCAATCCTTTCTTTTCTCAGTTTGATTTAGGAGACCAATTGTTTAGGACGTTAAGTGGTATCTCCAACAAATTTCTTGGAAAGAAGGCAGTGAATATGCCAGGAGCTGAAATTTAAGTCAGGTCAGGGTAGAATGTTACTTTTTAAAATTTATTTATTTTTGTGCAATTTATTTATTTTTATTTTTTTAATCTTATTTTATTGTTTAAAGTATTACAAATAGTAACACATGTGTCTTCTTTTTTCCCCCCATTGACCTTGCCCTGGCTTCCCCACCCCCCAGCACATGCTTACTTTTAAAACAACAGCACACCTGTAATACCTTGGGCAGGCTTTGGAAAACCTAGCAGCACTTGTATAACCTACCTTCTCAGGCTAGATTTATAAAGATTATTGGGATGAAGGTGGAGAGAAAGAAATTGGATTATTTATGAAATGACTTTAAATTTTTTTGATAAATTATTCCAGTTAACCAAGTGATTGGCTTATAGGCTTAAGTTCAATTAGTGAAGCTTCAAGGCCAGGTGAGTCAGAAATGGCCAAGTTCTCTCCCTCACAATGACTGGTGCTGTGGAAAAATGTAATCCCTTTTGCAAAGAAGTCTGTCTTTACAAGAAGCTTAGGAAATTTTTTTCCCCTTCATTTTCTTAAATATCTCCCTGGAGGCTTCTGAGATGCCTTTTTTCAGTGGTTCCCACACTTGTTGCCCATTGGAATCATTTGAGCATCTTTAAAAACTACTGATGCCTGGTTGATTCCCACCTGTAGATCATGTAATTTAGTTGGTATGGGCTGCAACCCAGACATGGGGAGTGTTCTTAATTATATTGAAATAATTTTTATATTGAAATGATTATGGATTTTCATGCTAATATAAGAAATAGTACAGAGATATGCCTTATACCCTTGAGCTAGCTTGCACCTATGGTAACATTTCCTAAAACTGTAATATAATATCACAACCAAGATAT